TGGACCCCATTGACTTTCATTGTGTGGACACAGATTTCGATTCGCAAGCTCTCGATTCGATTCGATTCGATTCTCGATTTTTTTGATTACATTCAGTGAATATAGCTTTAATACAAATGCTATTGATATTTCTAAAAAATTAACAGTAATCATCAGTTTACAAATGGTGAATTAATAAAAAGAAATTAAGAACCACAGGCCTGTATTTTAAACCTATTATTGTTTTTTGTATAGGGTCCTTTTTTAAACAATAATAGGGCCCTATAAAATGTTCTTAATTTTTCTGGTAATCAGATGAAGGCATAAAGCATTAATTTAATTTAATTCTAATCAAATGAAAATTAAACCCTTTTATTTTTTGGCAAACAAAGTGCTGCACAACAGAGGTTTACTGTTAAAATTAAAAAGAAAACGGATGTGATTATTCCTTTAAAAATAAAGATTTATTCATATTTATTAGCAGTAGTAGCATTGAGTCTTAAGACTGCTAAATAGTAATATATTCTGACAGTTTCTTAACGTTAAACTAAACTTTTATTTTGACGGGTTGCCGTGAAGAACTTGCAGCTGCTGTGTATTAGGGCTGTGTATCACCAGCAAAGTCACGATACGATACATATCACGATACATAGGCCACGATACGATATGTATCACGATACATGACTGCACTGAATTAGCTGGTAGCATCATTGTTTCTAAAGGAATTAAAGCCATAGCTTTACTGTTAATAGAGAAACGCGGCAAAACAGTGGTAATTCATACATACACAGCCTCTCTCTCGCTCTCTCTCTCTGTCGTAAATGAACACTTGATGAATCACACTTTTCTGAGAATAGACTTGAAGTGGAGATAGCTAAACTGCAAGCTAAGCGGTGTTTTTAGAAAGCAAGCGCGTTTATCCAGTGGAGAGAGAGCGCGTGAGCGCAGGGTTGCCAGGTTGACAAAGATAAGTAGCACGTTTAGCATATATTTCTATATTGCGCAAGCGTGAAGCTCTGTTTTGGGGATTACGTCTCTTTATATCAGTCAACCCCGTTGTGTTCCTCTGCGGCCAGATTATTAACAGATGCTCTATTCATTCTTTTTTTAGAAACCTGGCACTTTTCTACTAAATTTTAAACGTTGTAAAATTAAGCGTGGTCCATTGCTGCACACGTGCCACAGTATCGATACAGGGCCAGCTGTATCAATACTCGTATCGTCAAATCTCTGTGACGATACATCGTCGTATAGATATTTTGAACACAGCACTACTGTGTATGTGATATGACGGTAGTTTTCTCAAATGAAACGGTAAAATGCTAATGAAGTGACTCTCAGAGCAGCTGGAGATGACATTCGTGTTCATATCATCATATAGTGAGACGGCAGAAACTGAAAACACCGCGAGCATCATTGGCACTTTAGTATGTGTGTAGTAAACAAAACAGTGTGCCGCGCAATCCGCCATTCATTCATTACGGAAATCATGCTGCCTTATGCGTGATATCAAATGCTTCCGCAGATTTATAGCATTACTATAGCATTTCACCTGAGCATTATGAATCACGCGTATGGCCATGATAAGCGCTGAATGAATGACAGGATTTCTGTTGTAACATCGCGCAAGGTAAATAAGGGTGACATCTAGTGGAGAAGACTAATTATAAGATTCACGTTAATCAGATCTTGTTTTAAATGTGTGCTGAAATAAATACCAGAAAAGATCAAGTCGCGGCTTCTGAGAATCGATATCGAATCGACGTCATTTAAAAAAACGGCCCAGCCCTACTGTTTGGGAATGATATGATTCGTTGACAAAATTTTCATTTTGGGTGTACTGTCCCTTTAAATATGTGGCGAGTGTAATTTCATTTAGTCTTAAACCCGGTTATAAAGCCATATGGTTTATATAATCGGCAGACTGGTAGTGCTGATAGCAATAAGCTGTACTTGAGGACAACAGCAGTCTCCGAAAATCAAATCATCCCACACTGCACCTGCTAGAGGAAGAGCGTGCAGTGAGGTTTGCTGATCTGAGCCAGACCTTCACGCTGAGCCTGAGATAGGGGAGACCCAAATCCTGAAACACACTCCACCTGCTTCTGCCTGCTCAGCAAAAACCGAGCGTCCACACTGAGAAAACACTGGCAGGAGTTTTAATTCTCACAGTAATTGTAATCAAACCTCAGATCCGCTGGTGTTTTCTAAGATGACAGCTGGGAATGTCTCTCCCGCTCTGACTGGCTGACACTAATGACTGCAATTTTCAACTGCATGATGTCAAGCTTTTAATATCTTCTCTCTAATGCTTTTTGAAAGTGTCTGGATTGGGGCAAAGGTTAAGTTGGGAATTTAGTGAACCACAAACTGTTGACTGTCATTTTTCACTCTGAGCAAACAGATTATCATAATGCAAGCAAGTGATAAATCGTATGTGTTTGAAAGCCATGAAATGAATGCTGGGCTTGACTGACACAGCATGAGGCTTCAATTATGGTTAAAGCATTGTTAGAAAACCGTAAAGTCTTTAGAGTTATAATGTTATGATGTAATTGCCTGTACTCATGGAGCATGCATAAGTTTGACCATCTGTGTGGTCTTGTTTGTGTATCCATGTGGGGACTGAATGTTCCCTCTGTGATAGTAAAACTCTAAAAACCTATTTTGTAAATATTAATTATTAGTATTGGTGAATAATGGATATTGAATTGTGCATGCTCATTTCCCTGTTTTTTTGAAAATTGCATTTGTTTCATCTAACACTCACTTAGTCTTTAATCACTAATAATTAAGACTAATTATAAGATTCACGTTAATCAGATCTTGTTTTAAATGTGTGCTGAAATAAATACCAGAAAAGATCAAGTCGCGGCTTCTGAGAATCGATATCGAATCGACGTCATTTAAAAAAACGGCCCAGCCCTACTGTTTGGGAATGATATGATTCGTTGACAAAATTTTCATTTTGGGTGTACTGTCCCTTTAAATATGTGGCGAGTGTAATTTCATTTAGTCTTAAACCCGGTTATAAAGCCATATGGTTTATATAATCGGCAGACTGGTAGTGCTGATAGCAATAAGCTGTACTTGAGGACAACAGCAGTCTCCGAAAATCAAATCATCCCACACTGCACCTGCTAGAGGAAGAGCGTGCAGTGAGGTTTGCTGATCTGAGCCAGACCTTCACGCTGAGCCTGAGATAGGGGAGACCCAAATCCTGAAACACACTCCACCTGCTTCTGCCTGCTCAGCAAAAACCGAGCGTCCACACTGAGAAAACACTGGCAGGAGTTTTAATTCTCACAGTAATTGTAATCAAACCTCAGATCCGCTGGTGTTTTCTAAGATGACAGCTGGGAATGTCTCTCCCGCTCTGACTGGCTGACACTAATGACTGCAATTTTCAACTGCATGATGTCAAGCTTTTAATATCTTCTCTCTAATGCTTTTTGAAAGTGTCTGGATTGGGGCAAAGGTTAAGTTGGGAATTTAGTGAACCACAAACTGTTGACTGTCATTTTTCACTCTGAGCAAACAGATTATCATAATGCAAGCAAGTGATAAATCGTATGTGTTTGAAAGCCATGAAATGAATGCTGGGCTTGACTGACACAGCATGAGGCTTGAATTATGGTTAAAGCATTGTTAGAAAACCGTAAAGTCTTTAGAGTTATAATGTTATGATGTAATTGCCTGTACTCATGGAGCATGCATAAGTTTGACCATCTGTGTGGTCTTGTTTGTGTATCCATGTGGGGACTGAATGTTCCCTCGGTGATAGTAAAACTCTAAAAACCTATTTTGTAAATATTAATTATTAGTATTGGTGAATAATGGATATTGAATTGTGCATGCTCATTTCCCTGTTTTTTTGAAAATTGCATTTGTTTCATCTAACACTCACTTAGTCTTTAATCACTAATAATTCAAAGTTAATTTATAAAAACTAATAGTTTAATAACACTGGTAATGTAATCTTTTGCAAATCTGAAAATAAATATCTATTTTACAAACTGTAGATTATAATATTGCAATGCCTTAAAGGAAAAGTTCACCCAATGATGAAAATTTCCTGATAATCTACCTGATAATTTAGTAGGTTTTTCTTTAACATAAAAACTTATATACTTTTATTTATGTAGACAAAATAATACAGAATTTTAATATCAGCTTTTTTTTTGGTTATTGGTCATAATATCAGGTCATTCCTGATATTAAGATCATACACTGAGACTCACTTTATAGGCTGTATGTTTATTCCATGTTTGACACATTGATCACATTTTATATACTTAAAGTGCATACTGGAATAATTATGAATGACATTAATAATTAATTCAACTTTAATGTAGTTTAATGTCATTCGAATTGCAAATAGTTATTCAAACCTGATGAGGTGGAAATATTGGCAGTGAAAGGTCATGGAGGACTCCAGCAGATTCATACTGGCACAGATAAAACATCCAGCCCATGCACTGTCCTCCATGACCTTTCCTCCACACTCATGCAGAAATGCACATGTAAAGAATATTCGACATATTACTGTCGTGAATGTGCATAAATTATGCATGCCTGCATGTGCTGTATATGACTTCACTTGCATCTTTAGATATGTGAGAGTGTGTTTTGCTCCTATTGGCAACTCCATCTGCATCCCTCAGGTCAGGCTTAGTAAAGGACATCTCATTCCTGTTACTGGCAGACCATCTACAGAGGCAGCTTGTGCTTAGGCAACACGACTTGGCAGTGAAGCCAAACCAGGGGGGACAGTCACTTTAACATAAAGCTATGATCGTTGTTTCAAGGTTATCCAAAACCACCAGATCCCGGTACATCATTTGGGACAACAACAGAACAATCTCCAGTGCATGTTGTGTCTCATTGGAGAAGGGCCCATAGCTTTTGATTATAACTCTGAATGTCTGGCTGACATGATAAGCATGCATCTTTATCCTCCAGTGAACTGCTTGTTTGCTCTTCTCTCCTCCATGTATTCATCTGTGCCATATTTCCTCCAGCCTCCAGCCAAATACCTCTTGCCTGAGGTCAGCATTAATGATTACGGCAAGAACTGTGTGGTCATTGACCTGGATGAGACCCTTGTGCACAGCTCCTTCAAGGTACTTCTGAATACACACACATAACCACAAATACTACAATTTTGTTACTTGATATAGCAATGAATAAGTGGCTTATTGAGGCTATGCCTTGCTAATCAGTTTTAACTTGGCAACCATTGCCGTTCTTTATTTGACAAGCATTTGAATAGCACCAAGTGATGCTAAATATTATTTTAAAATTTAGTTTGCTGCCTATGTAGTGAGCTTTTTAAAAAGTAGGCATCTTAAAGGAATAGGTGGTCATTGACCTGGATGAGACCCTTGTGCACAGCTCCTTCAAGGTACTTCTGAATACACACACATAACCACAAATACTACAATTTTGTTACTTGATATAGCAATGAATAAGTGGCTTATTGAGGCTATGCCTTGCTAATCAGTTTTAACTTGGCAACCATTGCCGTTCTTTATTTGACAAGCATTTGAATAGCACCAAGTGATGCTAAATATTATTTTAAAATTTAGTTCGCTGCCTATGTAGTGAGCTTTTTAAAAAGTAGGCATCTTAAAGGAATAGGTCACACAAAAATTAAAATTCTGTCATTAATTACTCACCCTCATGTCATTTTCAAACACGTAAGACTTTTATAGACCCTTGTGCACAGCTCCTTCAAGGTACTTCTGAATACACACACATAACCACAAATACTACAATTTTGTTACTTGATATAGCAATGAATAAGTGGCTTATTGAGGCTATGCCTTGCTAATCAGTTTTAACTTGGCAACCATTGCCGTTCTTTATTTGACAAGCATTTGAATAGCACCAAGTGATGCTAAATATTATTTTAAAATTTAGTTTGCTGCCTATGTAGTGAGCTTTTTAAAAAGTAGGCATCTTAAAGGAATAGGTCACACAAAAATAAAAATTCTGTCATTAATTACTCACCCTCATGTCATTTTCAAACACGTAAGACTTTTAGTTATCTTCGGAACGCAAATTAAGATATTTTTGATGAAATCCGAGAGATTTCTGACCCTGCATAGAGAACAATGCAACTTATATGTTCACGGCCCAGAAAAGTTAGGACATTGATAAAATAATCCATGTGACATCAGTGGTTCAATTGCAGTGTTATGAAGCTACGCCAATGCTTTTTGTGTGCGAAGAAAACAAAAATAACAACTTCATTCAACGACTCGTATATGGTGGTATTCTCGTGAACGCGCAGCAGAATCTGACACAGAAGAGAAGAAATTGTTGAATGAAGTCATTAATTTTGTTTTCTTTGCACACAAAAAGTATTTGTGTAGCATCATAACATTACGGTTGATGTCACATGGACTATTTTAACAATGTCCTTACTATGTTTCTGGGCCTTGAACGTGTCTGTTTCGTTGCATTGCTGTCTATACAGGGTCAGAAAGCTCTCGGATTTTATGAAAAATATCTTGATTTGTGTTCCGAAGATGAACGAAGGTCTTATGGGTTTGGAACGACACGAGGGTGAGTAATTAATTACAGAATTTTCATATTTGGGTGAACTATCCCCATATATTCTACCTCCTAAGATAACTTGTTGTGGCTAAATGTGGTTAAAAGAATACACAATAGTCAAAGGTGGTGGAGAATGCGGGCAACATGTTGATCATGAATGCATATTTTTCATTCAGTTCTGGCAAGAAAATGGTTAAAAATAGTTCAGTGTAATTAGAAATAGATTATTTTAATCAATTTTTGTCTGTTATGCATTTTAATAAGAGTGTTATGTGCTAACATAGCAAAATGCTAATGTCAAACTCTATTGGATTCAATTGTGAAACAATAACAAAGAGTGTTATTTGTATGGAGTTTCTGCCTTTATAGACAATTCCAATTCGGTCACTTATGAGATCCTATTTCCTATCCTATCCTATTTGAATGCTCCATTAGAAGGCAGTTGCCTATGTAGGCACTAGACAGTGAGGCAGCTCAGTAGGTTTTGGGACAGAGCTTCCATTTTAGGGTGTACTCAAGTTTGTTTGGTGCGGATCTTTTGGGCAGGTGTGAATACAGCAATTGCACTCGGGTTCGGACCAAACAACCGTACCGAGACCCAGCTGAAGAGGTGGTCTCGGTCCGCTTCCAAATGAACTCTGGATAAACCAATGAATGGATGACCTTAAGCACACGTGTGGGTTTGTTTAGTTTCTGGTTCACTTGCAAAAAGGGCAGTGTGAAAGCGAACCGCACCAAACAAAAAAAATAAACATTGTATTTGGTCCGGACCAAAGCAAGTGAACTAGCGGACCTTCCTGGTGTGAATACACCCTTAGTCCTCATTTCTAAATAAACATTGAGCAAATTTAGAACATTCACTCCTGCACATTGTTTTTGAGTGGCCAGATGAATAATTTGAGCAACCTAAGACATGATAACAGAAGGCATTGGCAGTATTTTGAGGTTGTTGGGGTGGATTTGAAAGTCCCAAATGAATTAAATCCTCTTCCGAGATTAAATGTTTGTCTGGTCCCTATAAAGTAGCGCTTCAGAGAGCCACCTGCTGAGCGCAGTGACCCACTTCTCTGCATCTTGGTTTTAGGCTGGTTTTTAGCTCTCTCTCTCACACACACGGTCAAATAAACAACTATGTCCAGTTGATTACATACAATCACTCTACATTTACATATGTACACACATCCTGCTTAATGCATACATGTCTTCCACAGCTGGATACATCCCTGCTCCCAAAGGAGAAGGACAGTGACAGATGCTGAATGTGTTTGCTCTTAGACTAATAACTGTGTTTTGTTAAGCCTGTCGTCCTCCTTTAAAATGTCTGCCTGGCAGCTCCTGTTTTTGCTCAGAGAAGAGAGAAAGGCGGCGACTGAGAGAAAGAGGCCCAGAGAGAGGGATGCATGCCTTTGTGCGCGTTCCCAACCTCATATACACCCATCCTGACACCAAAACACACACCCGCATACACACACATTACATTGGAAAGGTATGCTCACAGTTACACAAAAACGATTTGACCGTGACCATACTTGATGAGTGTTTACAATATTTTCTATTACTTATAATTATTACCTAGCATGTTCTGTCTCAGTTGGCTTGATTTTCTCAGTGACAGATGTTGTTCTTTTCCTTTTTTACATACAGTGGCTACAAAAAGTATTTTAACAAGAATATTAAATATTTAGTATTTAATGCAATGGATTTATTTTAGTTTTAGACAGACATAGACATAATACTTGTTTTACAATATTGACCAAAAGTCTGTACTTCATACATATATATATATATATATATATATATATATATATATATATATAAAATTATATTTAATGCATTTTTCTAGCTAATAAATACTGCTATGCCACTGTCACAATACCCATTCATATAGATCACCCACTCCTCCTGCTGGCTATATTATGAACTGATGTGTAAATCAGTTGACTGTGAAAACTGATCTGAAATCAATCCCTTCATTAAATATTTATTTCAGACAGACATTAAATTACTAAAACATTCAAAAATCTGTCCACTGTATTTCTAGACAAACATTCAAACAGTTAACTGAGAAAAATAATTTTCTTAATGGTTTATCTTGTTTTCCAGTAAAAACATTCTTAAAATATGATAAATTTACTTAATAATAATAAAATATTTTTTTTTCTGAGACTTTAACTGAGTTTAGTTTTCGTACCCTTTTATGCATAAAATGATCTGTAAATTTATGGTTTAGAAAAAAAAGAATGAGCCAAATGGTGAACAAAATTATATTAGTAAAATACAAAACAAATAATTTCAAAACAAGACTAATTAAGAAAAATACTAATTAAGAATATTATGTTCTGCAGTCTGCCTGTTGTAAATGAAACTATCCATCACAGTCATGATGTTATGCAAGCCAGGTCAGATATTGGATGAGCCGCCTCCTCTGCCGTCCAATCAGAAATGAGATCCACAGAATTTCCTTGTTTTTTAACAAGCCCTTGAAAAGTGCAAAGAGCAAAAGTTTTCTCTCCTCTCCTCTCCTCTTCTCATCCTCATCTTCCTTTCCCTTTCTCTGCTTGCAATAAGACAGCTCATAGCCACCCGCTGAGTCTCTTTCATCGTCTCCCAGCGCTCTACAGCACGTCTCCTCCTCTCTCTCCCTCCACTTTCTTTAAAAGCGTATCAAGTCTCTTTTCAAAGACCCTTGCCGTTCCAGCTCCATGCAGTCAGCTGTCAGAAACACACATGCTCAAATGCACACACTCATGCACATACACGCTCAAAGAAGTCTAACTGAAAGTCTTGACTACAGGTAGCTGTGAAGCGGTGCATGCCTCCCTCTGGCTCTCTCAGAGAACAGCGCAGCTGATACAGCTGTAACATGCTTACAGTCGGTTTCAAACAGGCTCCTAATGTGTGATTTCCTGTTTTGTGCCTGCAGCCCATCAGCAACGCAGACTTTATAGTCCCTGTGGAGATTGACGGAACAGTTCATCAGGTACCGTGCAAATGGGTTCAAATATAGCCATGGGTAAATGTTCACACTTACGGCAACAGATTATTAACAAAGCTCTCGCCCCTTTTGAATCTGGACTGTGTCTTTTTTGTCTTGCAATGTCACCATAACCTTGACAAGCCATGTCAAATTGAAATGAAAGGAATATTACGGGTTCCATACAAGTTAAGCTCTATTAACATTTGTGGTATAATAAAAACAAATATATTTTGACTTGTCCTTTGTTTCCAAATTAAGATTTACAGTGAGGCAATTACAATGGACGTGGATGGGACCTATTTTTCGAGGATTTTAAATAATTTTATTAAAGCAATAACTAAAAATTAAAATAATTCATTTTATTTTACTTACATTATAAAATGCTAAAGACATGCAATATTTGAGGCGTAAAGCTGCTTAATCCATAATTTTTTACAGCTGTTTTGGGGCCCTGGTAAACAAAATTGGAAAATTAGATACATTTGTAAAATTGGAACTTCACTCAGAAAATGTTATTTAAGTGATTTTCACATTAAAACCATTTTAACACTTTTTGTTACATCATCTTGTGGCTACTATATTGACAAAATTGTAGTAAAAATTATAGAAGTACGGTTAAAAAACAGCAGCTGTGGTTGCCAGATATTTACTGTAAAAATATAATAGCAACTTTTTAGGTTTTACAGATAGAAATTTAATGTACAATAAAAAAGTATACTTTATTAACGGAAATAATGTTACTACATCAAATTAGTAAAGCTGTTTTTTACCTTTTATGATATACTGACAACCAGGCACGTGCACACATAGACATAAAAGGGGGCTTGAGCACCTGCCCTATTTCTTCCTTGAGAGAAAGTGCCCTTTATTCTGTATTATATATTTATAATTTTAAATATCAGTATTCAGTGTTTTATGTTTAAAATGTCAAGACAGTATTAATGCATTTGTAACTGCAGGTTAAATGCATTCCTGTCCTGCAATAAACAGTGTGTAAATGCATCTAAATGCCACTTCAGACGCAGGTTCTGTTTCTCTTCTGCATTGCAAAGGTTAATTTTGTCAGTACTGATTTAATTTAGAAGTCTAACTGAAAGTCTTGACTACAGGTAGCTGTGAAGCGGTGCATGCCTCCCTCTGGCTCTCTCAGAGAACAGCGCAGCTGATACAGCTGTAACATGCTTACAGTCGGTTTCAAACAGGCTCCTAATGTGTGATTTCCTGTTTTGTGCCTGCAGCCCATCAGCAACGCAGACTTTATAGTCCCTGTGGAGATTGACGGAACAGTTCATCAGGTACCGTGCAAATGGGTTCAAATATAGCCATGGGTAAATGTTCACACTTACGGCAACAGATTATTAACAAAGCTCTCGCCCCTTTTGAATCTGGACTGTGTCTTTTTTGTCTTGCAATGTCACCATAACCTTGACAAGCCATGTCAAATTGAAATGAAAGGAATATTACGGGTTCCATACAAGTTAAGCTCTATTAACATTTGTGGTATAATAAAAACAAATATATTTTGACTTGTCCTTTGTTTCCAAATTAAGATTTACAGTGAGGCAATTACAATGGACGTGGATGGGACCTATTTTTCGAGGATTTTAAATAATTTTATTAAAGCAATAACTAAAAATTAAAATAATTCATTTTATTTTACTTACATTATAAAATGCTAAAGACATGCAATATTTGAGGCGTAAAGCTGCTTAATCCATAATTTTTACAGCTGTTTTGGGGCCCTGGTAAACAAAATTGGAAAATTAGATACATTTGTAAAATTGGAACTTCACTCAGAAAATGTTATTTAAGTGATTTTCACATTAAAACCATTTTAACACTTTTTGTTACATCATCTTGTGGCTACTATATTGACAAAATTGTAGTAAAAATTATAGAAGTACGGTTAAAAAACAGCAGCTGTGGTTGCCAGATATTTACTGTAAAAATATAATAGCAACTTTTTAGGTTTTACAGATAGAAATTTAATGTACAATAAAAAAGTATACTTTATTAACGGAAATAATGTTACTACATCAAATTAGTAAAGCTGTTTTTTACCTTTTATGATATACTGACAACCAGGCACGTGCACACATAGACATAAAAGGGGGCTTGAGCACCTGCCCTATTTCTTCCTTGAGAGAAAGTGCCCTTTATTCTGTATTATATATTTATAATTTTAAATATCAGTATTCAGTGTTTTATGTTTAAAATGTCAAGACAGTATTAATGCATTTGTAACTGCAGGTTAAATGCATTCCTGTCCTGCAATAAACAGTGTGTAAATGCATCTAAATGCCACTTCAGACGCAGGTTCTGTTTCTCTTCTGCATTGCAAAGGTTAATTTTGTCAGTACTGATTTAATTTGCTTGGTAACAGCCCAAATGACTTATTATTCTAATTGACTGATTCATTTTAAGAATTTGACTGAAAAGATGATGCACACTTTTAGAAAAAAGGGCTTTATAAAGGTAAAAATGCCCATAAAAGGTAATAAAAATCAATTTAACCTTATTGGAAAAGATTAATTTCTATCACTGCTGTGAACTGATTACCACACAGAATATGCAGAATATCAAAAACTTTAGGAGTCAGCTGACCATGATAGTCCTTAAGATATCAGCACAATAACACACTCAGCAAAATATTGTCTAATTATCATTATCGATAAAATCTCAGAAAATATTGAGATACATTTTTCACACCCCTAATATATTTAACGTTTTGTTTAGAAAAAAATTTAAATAAATATGAGAAGTGCCCCTTTTTCCACTTGAGCCCCTGCCCCTCAAAATATCTGTGCACGTCCCTGCTGACAACCACTTTAAAAATACAGATGGTAAAGATTAAAGACACATGATGAATCGCAATTCATCACAACTAGCTTGTTCACAAGCTGAGGTAAATACTAATTGGTGCATGATGTCATACAAAACAGCATCATTTTAACATGACATACAAATAAAATAAACAACATAAAATGTAACCAAAAAACCTAATGTTCATAATTCATAAGAAAAAGTTAAGACTTGTTCTTTTTCACTTCCCAAAATTCTTCACTGTTCTGTGCATTCTCTGCTGTATTAAGACATCAGCGGTAATGATATCTTACTATTTCCAACATGTGTCCTCTGAGGCTTTGTCTTTTCATCTCTTAAGAAGCAGTAATATGTGAGTGGCCCCAAAGGGTTCATGCTAAATCACAGTTGGAATCTGAACTCATTTCCTTTTTATCATTCTCCTCGAGTCATTGGGTACGATGTAGTCAACAGCACTCGCTCGAGGTAACGAACTTGAAGTAAACAAATGTCACCAGTTTGAACACAGCCCGAAAGAGTAAACACGCTTGAGGGGAGTCTGAAGTGTGTTGATTGTAAATCTGTGTGTGAGTCAGTATGGCTCATTTGTTGCTGGAAAACATCTGCGAAGTGGCTGGTACCTGGTTCAAGTAATCCAGGATAGGCTTTGTGGATCAGGGTTGGCCTGTTCTTGGTTACTTGCACTGGGTTGCAGCAACTGAACTACAAGTTGAAGACTGAAACTCTACAAAGAGGTTTGTTGAAAGTTCAAGTTCAGCATCTCTTCTGTCTGCAGAAATCAGAAGTGATTTCTTTCCATCAGTAATAGCTGTTTGTTTGAAGGTCTACGTACTGAAGAGGCCTCACGTGGATGAGTTTCTGCAGAAAATGGGCGAACTGTTTGAATGTGTTCTTTTTACAGCCAGCCTGGCTAAGGTAAGATTTCCTAAGCTTTCTTTAGACTGCATATAAACCATCTTTAGGACTAACAGCTTGTAATTTCTAGTCAGTATTTTTCAATATTTGGTCAATTAGTCAATATTTTACAGGCTCGATTTAGCAAAGGAAGTTCTTTTCAGTGAAAGTTGACATTAGCAATGTTAGCATTGTAATGTTCATGAGCCCAGTGATTTCACAAAGTTGAGAAAAGTTGAATGTTATGCAAATAAGTGATGGAGTGAAGTCAGTGGAGCTCCCAGGATCCATCTCCTGTGAGATACTCTCCGAGGAACTTTAATGTTGTTTAGAGCGATTTCGCTGTTCTGTGTGTTATTTTCTGGATTTTTGATTCGGTCTCTCACAGTTGAGGTGTACCTACGATGAAAATTACAGATCTCTCCATTCTTTGTAAGTGGGAAAACTTGAAAAATCGGCAGTGTATCAAATACTTATTTGCCCCACTGTATACCTATATATTTAAAAAATGATGTTTGGGAAACTGAGTCAGAAAGTTTGCAGCGAGTTTGGTTCATGCATTGATAATCGTTTATCTTGTTCACGAGATGATGTATTATCAACTACTGGTATTAATATAAAATGCTTTTCCTGCCAAACGTTCATTTACAGCAGCAAGAAAACTGCTTCCTTGTCAAAGTAGAATGACATCTTATTTTATTGCAAATTTATCCCAGTTTTTCAAAAGCTGGGGGGAATCAATCAGATTTAAATCCATAAACGAAAATCCATATATAAATCTATAAATCTATATGTTTTTTGGATTGGGTTTGAAAAAAAAGAATTTATTATTTATAAGTAATTTATAAATAATAAATGTATAAGTAATTTAAAATGTATTATTTCAGTTTTTTTCAGAGTTAGAGACATAAGTATTTATTTATTGTTTATTTACTTTATTTACTTATTACTTTATTATTTTTTTGGGCTGGAATTGTGTCAGATACATAAAGTGTATGTTATTTATTTATTAACACATTTAATTCATTAATTCATATTAAATTATTATGATTACGTTCAAAAATATTTATTCAAGTTATTATTTCATATTTTTGGGGGGCTGGATTTGAGTCAGATACGAAAAATATTTTTTTATTTATTTTATTTTTTATATATTTTAATTAATTTAAGTATTTTGAATTCCTTCATTTTAAATTTGTTTTGTTGTTGCAAGAATAGCATGCTTGAGTGCTACTGACACTCTGCTGCCAAACTGCTTTGCTGCAGTTTTGTAATTTATTTTTTGTAATATATATTTTTGCAATAAATATTAAATATTTTTTAAAAATTGCTAAATATTTTAAAATATATTTAATATCTATTAAATATACATATATGATATTCTTTTCTTTTCTTTCCTTTTTTTTTAGTTTTCATTTCAGGACAGAGATAAAATACTGATGTCTTCTATGCATAAATGCAGGCGGGGAAAGTTAGTCTGTCTGGTCATAGTGTGATTGTTGTATTGTTTCATCTCTATTTTGATCTTGCAGTATGCTGACCCTGTAGCAGACCTGTTGGACCGGTGGGTATTTTCACTCGCCGAACACACTGACTGAGTGCTTCAGAGTTTCACACTCCATCAAGCGATCAGTGCTTTTTTTTTTCAATTCATCTCAGTGGATGCGCAGCGCACCTGTATTTGACGCACCGTAAACTGTAGACCGTCTGTACTGTACTTGCCGTCACTTTGCTTTTTTCTCACACGCAAAGAGAGAGAGTACGAGAGAGTCTTACGTACCATGCAGAATTGACATGCTACATGTAAACAATATTCTTTGTTGTATTTTCCTGTCAAAATAAGTTCCTTTGGAATTCTTCAGCTTTTAAGAACTGCCGGGTTCTCCGGTAGTAGGCGGATCTAATGCGCAAAAGACAATCTCATTGGCTGGCGCTCACCTATTATTGTCCCTGTTTTGATTACAGCAAATCATTTCGAGCGAACGCATGCAACCTGATTAATATTCATGAATCCAGCAGCTCGTTAATCCTTACTGCGTTTTATATTGTTCTTATTAGTAGAATTCATAGTATTATTATCTTACCAGTATTATTGTTAGTTTTTCCCATTTTTTTTAAATTAGACCAAAAAAGCATCACCACCAGTCCTAAGTTTAGTTAAAATGACTAATATAATTTTTAATTATCATTTTATAATTTATGCATTTAGCAAGCGCTTTTATCCAAAGTGACTTACAGTGCATTCCGGTTACACATTTTTTACCAGTGTATGAGTTCCCTAATATGCATTCATATATGGTTACCAAGTTTTAATTCTTATACTAAAGTTCTATCATTGAATTATACTTGATTATCATATATTATAATGCTTGACTGACTGATATTAAGAGTGTACTTTCAGATATTTAAAAAGCTGTGCCATTTTACAAACACACACACACACATTTGTAAAATATAAATAAAATATACGTTATATACCAAAGGCTCTTTAAGAAAAGTCATGTCACTCGTCGGCCATCTTTGAAATGCCTCTCGGGCATGCAAGTGCAGCTCCTATCTCTTTGTATGGGGAAACATCAAATTCTCCAAAACTGTTCGCTAAGCTTACGATTAAATTTCATATTTGAAATCACCAAAGAAATCTGACAACAACTGTCATAAATGGTGTTTCTTTTGCTCAAATAGCGTTATAAAAAGCTTATTTTTCAGGCTAGATCAGCCAGTGCGCATGCGCCGTCCTAAGAGCACGTCTCAGAACGCCGACAGTTTCTATAGCAACCGGGACTTCTAAAGGCAGCTGCAGTGATGCGCTGACTTTACCGATTAGCGATTGGCTCTTTCATTCAGAAGGCGGGGCTTCCTGCGATTGAGCGGCCATATTGAGCGTTGCATTTTTCCCCATTCAAAACTATACGAGTGACATATCTTGGGTATTGTATAGTCTTTGTATATACATATCCATATTTATACTACGGGGAAGTTGAATGCTTGAATCTGATTGGCTGACGAACATTCTAAGGTGTGGTGAACGTAGTTCCAGGCAGCTCTTGACCGCATTACATGTCTGTATCACTTCGCCAAATGATTTCAGTTATTTCAAAAGTCTTTACAGTCTACAACAGCAAAAGAACCAAAACCCACAACGACACTGGTCAAACAAATAAATATAGTAAACAATAGGATAAAAACGACAGATCGTTTCCATGGTAAAAATTTGCTTCACGTTGTGTGTGTGTGTGTGTGTGTGTGTGTGTGTGTGCGCAGTGTGCACCGTGCACCCACGTCTGTATGTGTGCTGTACACACTGTTTTATGCAGTTAGTAAGCAAAATACTCTTAAATCCTAAAGGTTGCACATTATACAGTGATAAATGCAGGAAAATTTAATTCTTTATTGTACCACCAACATATTGCATTGGGCATGTGTTGCTTCATAAACACTGATTACCTAACCGGCTGCTAAATGACATTGGGACAAACATAATTAGTTTTGCCCAAACCCTGTTACCCTAACCAGTGTCATTGAGTTTCTTCGCATTAGAACTCAAATGCCTCAGAACTCACGTTGACTCAAATGAAAAAAACATATATTACATGACTACATAAATTCTAAGTTCATTATTATCTATAATTAATGCTGATATATTCATTATATTTAACCTATAGTAGATCATAGATTAAAGATGGATCTATAGACGGATAGAAAGAGACAAATGGACAGAGGTATAGACAGACATAGATGGATAGATGCTGTAGAATAGTAGATAGGTAGACATATTGTAGGTAGGTAGATGGATAGAAAGATTGATGGATAGACGTATAGAGAGGTGGAGAGACAGACAGGTAGATAGAGTAATAGATGTCTATATAGGTCAGTATGGATGAATGGATAGACAGATGTAGGTAGGTAGGTATGTAGTGGGTAGATAGACTACTATACTAGGTAGATATACTGATGGATGGATAGAAAGATGGATAGGTATGTGCAGGGTTAGATGTATACAGTAGATGTATAAATAGGTAGGTAGCTGGATAAATGGGTGGTTATAAAAGGTTAGACATAGAAAGAGACAGATGGATAGGTAGGTAGATAGAGTAATAGTTATATGACGTATAGACAGACAGACAGATGAAAAGATTTATAGATGACAGACATTTAGATGTATATAGACAGAAACTGTAGATGGATAGGCATACAGGTGCATACAATATAGATCTTGTTAATCAGTAAAACTGCTGTTATCACTCAGAAAATAAGTTTTTGTTCCTCGTTATAAATGCCTTTACACTTTTATTCTTGAAATGTTCTGCTTTTCTGCACACACAATACTTTGAGAGTTTGTTCGCCCACCTCTCTCCGTCTCCCTCAGAATGGCATTCTGGCCTGCAATTAAGGTGAAGCCTCTAAACCTAAATGAAGCACCATTTTGCCTCGTACTCCTCTTTATTTGTTAGTGGCTGATGGGCCGTTTGCCATAGGAAGCCTCTGATATCTGTCCAAGAGCCTCTCGCAGGGGATTCGTTCGCTCTTTCTCCCCATCTGCTGGAGTGGAAGAGATTAATCACCGTCTCCTCTCTCTGGCTCTCCTGAGTGTCTGTGTGGCGTTCCCGTCTGAAGCGTTCCTTGTGATCTGAGCGTGAAAGAGCTGAGATGCAGAGCCGATGTGTGAGGAATCCAGAGCACGAGTCTCTCTGACCTCCACCAACTTCAAACCAGCTGGTTTTATATAACTGAGAGAATATGTGATAATGAAGGAGATTCCTAATTATGAACTATCAGTTAGTGTTTACTCACTCTCGTGTTGTTCCAAACACATATGCCATTCTTTCTTCTGTGAAACACAAAATTAGAAAATATCAGTAATGGTCGCTTTTTTCATGTTAATGTGGACTGCTGCTTTTGAGCTTCAATAAGCATGCAAAAAGCTCCATAAAGTAGTCCATATGACTCATGCATTTCATTATTTAGGAATAATCTTCCCCTTCAGTGAGCTGTTAAAGCAACTGTAAGAAGTTTTTGTGTATTTTCGACTTTAGAGCCGAAAAAAAGAGTTACAGACAGATTAAATTCACTGTCGTAAATCTATCACTGTCCCAATTGCTGCCGTAAAGTAATCTGCCCTTTTCGTGGAATTTCGCACCCGCTCACCAAATTTACACACTTCCAGAAGAGACATATAGGGAAGTATGGGAAAGATGCAGAAGCCATTTGCCTTATTAGATGTCCATCAGAATTATTTTAGAAGTGATATTTCAAGGTAAAAATTAATGCAGCTTTAACTGCTGCAGCTGAATCGTTCACACCTGAATTATTGAATTGTGATTTATTGAAAAGATCCGACTACTGAGGAAAACTTAAGAGGACTCGGAATATATCCTAGAAGTCCTTGTGAATGTCACTTGTGAGTTACGTCCTCTTTTGTCATTCTGGACAGTCCCTACTGTACATTGTATTGAAGAGACTGGCCACTGACCAGGCTATTCTGTAAAACACATGGAGGAAAGTCATACAAGTTTGAAGCAACATGAGGAAGAGTATTGTGATATAATGTTTTAGCTGAATTATTATAAGTACTCCTTTTCTGATCTCAACCAGTTTCAAACAATTGGAGGTTGGTCAAGTGTATTAGCCTAATGTTTTTTTTAAATACGTCTTTTATTCTTATCAAGGCTGCATTTGTTTGATCAAAATACAGTAAAACCGTAATATTGAGAAATATTATTACAAAGTTTTCTATTTTAAAGTGCAATGTATTCCTGTGATGGCAAAGTTGAATTTCAGCAGTCATTAGCCTACTTCAGTGTTGAGTGTCTCATAACCCTTCAGAAATCATTCTGGTGTGCTGATTTGGTGTTTAAGAAACATTTGATTATTAAAACTTATTTAAACTATGACTTATCATGATTCATATACAGTCCTTGAAGGGTATGTTAGATAATCAAGTTTTACGTTATTATTATGACTTTTACTTATAACCACAAAACCCATATACAATTGTATATGAGATTCACATCTGATCTTGATTTATATTTTACTTCTTTGCAATACAAGCAAATTTGCTTAATGACTTGTTGATGGAAATTTCACTCAGTTGTATTCCAGATACAATATTATTTGGAGCAGAAATGTATGAATTTGTCGTAACGAATCAAAAGATCCTTCATCTTTAAACTCACACTGGGAAATATGAGACTAATCCATGTCATTGATTAGGATTTATGGAAAAGTCTGTGCTGACTATTGTTTAAAAAGCTTTGTCAATAGACAAGAAAACCAGTCATTCAGGACAGAAAGCACACAAAACTATTAAATATGAAGTGCTTGTACAGTAGATAGTGCTTTTTCTTTAGTAATGAGCTGTTTGTCAGAGAGCAATCATGAATGTTGTTAATGTAACACGATCATGTAAAAGATGAAATGCTATTGAGACTGGATCATATATACAGTATGATCACAGCTGTGCTTTAGTTTGTCTATTTTCTCACTATATACCATTTTCTGATTCCATATTTCTGTTTGTTTAGAGTGAGTAAGAATACTAGTAGATTTTTTTGCTACTAGATTTTTTTTAAATTTTGGATGCTGTCTTCTACATCCTGCTAAATTGTTCATGCTCCACCCTCAACACTAGATTTCAGTCAATATTCTCGCACCCCAGTTTCTTAGCAACAGCGGTGCTGTGATTATGAAAGGTCAGCGTTTCTTTTCACTGTTAGCATTGAGTTTTATGAGAGAGGACTGGTTGCTGATGTGTAGTAGTTGTTTGTTTGCACTATGCCACTTATTTGCAGGCTATTTGTCCTAATAAGATTCACAGCTTGTCTGAATCTGCATTTTAAATGTATTCTGAAGCAAAGTCGTTTGCAGGACATTTTGGCCATCGTATGACTCCAGAGTTGCAAAATATTTCCACATAATTTGTAATGTGAATAGTGACCTGTTTTAAATGAGTTTTGATGCACATTTCTGTTGCAAAGTAGTTTTTGTGTTTACTGAGCAGATTCTTGAAAGTGAAATCAATTTGTTACCATAGTACTGGCCAGCGCTGTTTAGTGGTACAGCTTCTCTAGAGGAAGCACAATTTCCACATATTCTCTTCATCATCATTTCATAAACCATCTGTTCTCTGTCACTCAGTGTTAGGAGTGATGAAGCAAGCACCTTTAAAAAAAAATCCCATTTTTGTACTCAAGATTTCTTACTGATATTTCACGTTTTGCAAAAATCTGTCACAACATTTAATTAAAAGCTAAAATGTGAAACTGTAGTGAAATACATTGTGTTATTATAATGTTTAGCATTTGTATTATGTTATATAGAATGTGTTCACAAATGTCACATTTACACATTTACATTATAGTCCAATGTTTTTTCTATATAAAGAAATAATTTCTTTATATTATACTTTATAATGCAAGCGTGAATTCAGGTCAAATTTAGATTCACAGTGTCAAAATGTGCTTCAGTATATCTGAAGTTTTATTGTCAGTTGTGATGCATTATGCTGTGGTTATGGTTTTTAATTCAGATAGTTTGAGCGTTGAGATTTCTTCTCAGAATACAGCAGAATGACGGAAGCCCAGGATGAGTTCAAAAACATCCAGCGAAAACCTGGTCTGCAGATCTGGACCATCAGTGTAAGAAATCACTGTTGTTTTCTCCAATTAGGCAAATATATAATATATATATATATATATTATAATATGTTATATTAATGTATTATTCTGTTTTATGTTTCTTCAGAAAATGAAAATGGTCCCTGTCCCAGAGCAAGCATATGGAAATTTTTTTGAAGGTGACTGCTACATTATTCTTAATGTAAGTAATCTGGTATTCAATCTTGTTCACATGATACTCTTTAGGTCATTTTAAAAAGTGCTTTTAGAAAGAATTGCTCCAGTATTTGAAGTGCTCCAGTTGACAATAAATGACTAGAATTTATGTCCTTTGGAACACAAAGGAAGTTAACATTATGGAAGCTTTAATGCTGCTCTTTTCCAATCATAATCAGTGGTGATTTTTTTTTCTGATTTATTAAAAATAGTGCTGTCAAACGATTAAATGCATCCAAAATAAAAGTTTTTGTTTACTCAATATATGTGTGTGTACTGTGTATATGTATTATGTATATATAAAGACACAGACATACAGTATATATTTTGAAAATATTTACATGTATATATATTTATATTCATATAATTTATATTATATATATATATATATAAATATATTTAATATATAAACATTACATATTTTTCTTAAATATATATATGTATGTGTGTATTTATATATAAATAATAAATATACACAGAACACACACATATATTATGTGAACAAAAACGTTTGTTTTGGATGCGATTAATCGTTTGACAGCACTAATTAAAAATATATTATAAAAAATTGATTTGTATTTTTTAATTATTATGAGATATTAATATAAATAAAAATAGATAATTATAAATAAAATAAATAGATTTTAATTAATATTAATAAATCTAAATTAATTTAAATTTATATATTTTTTTATCTCTATTCATATTCTATCATTTTGAAGTTATTAATACCTATGTTCTTAAGCACATGTATGAGCACATGTCTGTCTTCAGGTGAGCAACAGCGCCACACAATCCACTGACATCCACTACTGGATAGGCAACGCATCCTCTCAGGACGAGCAGGGAGCGGCAGCCGTCTATGTGACCCAACTGGATGGGTGTCTCGGCGGCAGTCCGGTTCAATACCGGGAGGTCCAGGGATGTGAATCAGCTAAATTCAAAAGCTACTTCAAGAATGGCCTCATGTGAGTGAAATAAAAAACATTTTGGCTTGCTTCTACCAATTCCATGACAGTATGATTATGTCTACACTTTCCTGTTTCCTATAGATATAAAAAAGGAGGTGTGGGATCAGGATTCACACATGTGGAGGCAAATGTGTACAACATTCAGCGCCTGCTCCACGTCAAAGGAACCAAACATGTGACTGCAAGAGAGGTGAACTGCTGCAGAAGACACATCGAATCACAATACTACAATAGTGAAGGCTCACTTCATGAATATTAAATAGTTGATACTTGCTTGGTAATCTTGCAGGAGCATACAATCACCAACCCTAATTAATATTAATGAGCCACACCTTCATAGTTGAATATGTTAATGGATGCGTTTTCAGTGAGAGCTGGAGATGTGTGACAGTGATAAAGGCAACTACTGTACATATTTTCGTGTGAGAAAAAAGCGTAATATTATTAGTATTATTATATTATAGAATTATAAAATAGTAATATTATAATATTTAAAAACAACATTATGTTTAAGAAATTAAATAATTGGCTTTTATATTGTTACTGTACTGAAGCTAAAGGCAATGATTAAAATTGACTTTCGATAAATATAAAATATAAATATAAAAAGGAAAAAATTCAGTTCATTTAAAATGTATTAGTTTATTTAATATATATACATATGTATATATATTGCTTAATTTATTATTAATAATTCAATAATTAATATTATAATTATAGTTGCCTAGATAATACAAAATTCTGTGCCACAATACTTTTTTTTGTATAAGACCCCAAATAGAAAACTCTTGTTTTCACAGAACACAGACAAACTTATGCTAGAGTTGGGTTATAAATGTGGTCAAAGCACATTAGAAGATTTGCTATCCAATTCACTTTGTGTGAACAGATATTTATATTGCAGGCGAAGGGCCAACATTATGAGGATCAGTAAATGAAGCTGTCAAACTGTAAATTATTCAATTTAATGTGCAAGAATGTCAAGAATCAAGAAGCAGTCTCTGCATCACTGCTGTCCTCATGTCCTCTGATGTTTCTCTATTACATGGCCTGGGTCCTTGAAAGAATCAGGAAGTTAAATATTGTACACCCCACAAATTATTCAGGACTACTGTCAAGAATGAACTGGACTTTTTCAGTAATGTCTGATTTCTTCCCAGCACTCTTTGGGAGAATTTCAGTGGGGCTTTGTGTGTGTGTGTGTGTGTGTGTGTGTGTTTGTGTGTGTCTGCAGGTGGAGGTTTCCTGGAGCAGTTTTAATCTAGGGGACATATTCCTGCTGGATTTGGGAAAAGTAATAATACAATGGAATGGTCCTCAAAGCAACAGACAAGAAAAATTAAAGGTAATTGAAGAAATGGGGGAAGATACAGTGCTGGATATAAAATAAAATGATGTATGGATTTCTATTGTGTTCCTGTCCTCTCCTGTCTTTCTTAGGCCGTTCTGCTTGCTCAGGACATCAGGGACCGGGAGCGTGGAGGCCGGGCTCAGATTGCTGTAATTGAGGGTGGGCAGGAGGAAGCCTTTCCTGAGCTGATGAAGATCATGATATCTGTTTTAGGTCAGAGGACTGGACACCTGAAAGAGCCAATCTCTGATGATAAACCAGACCAAAACCAGATCTCCGACGTCAAACTGTACCAGTATGAACACTTTAATCTGTTTGCCATTAAAAAGTCTTATTCAGGATGACATTGTCTATCTATCTATCTATCTGTCTATCTATCTGTCTGTCTGTCTGTCTGTCTGTCTGTCTGTCTGTCTGACTGTTTATCTATTTATCTGTCTGTCTGACTGACTGTTTATCTATCTGTCTGTCTGTCTAACTGTTTATCTATCTGTCTGTCTGTCTGTCTGTCTAACTGTTTATCTGTCTGTCTGTCTGTCTTGTCCGTCCGTCCGTCCGTCCGTCCGTCCGTCACCTTTTTTATTGCTCTATTGTTTTATTGCGCTATCTATCATTTTATCGTTGTGCCTGTCTGTCTTTCTTTGTCTATCGTTTTATCTTTTTCTGCCTGTCTATCATTCTAGCTATCATTCTGTTTTCATTTTATTTATTGTTTTATCATTGTATCGTCGTTCTATGTATTGTTTTATTATTTTGTCTGTCTAGTTCTGTCTAGAAGTTCTATCTATACAGGACTATCTATTGTTTTATTTTTATGTCTGTCTGTCTATCATACTATCTATTGTTATTTCGTTTGATCTTTTTATTATGTCTGTCTGTTTGTCTGTGCTATCTAGCTATCTCTCTCACTCTTTCATGATTATTTGATATTTCTAATATTGAAAACTGATCATTCAGAGCTAACATCTAATAAAATGTCCTTAATTAGCATTCTGTTATTCTCAGTGTGTCTGATGCCAGTGGTCAGCTGTTGGTACAGGAAGTGGCTACCAGTCCACTGACCCAGGATTTGCTGAGTTCCACTGTGAGAGACATGATGTCTACCAAAACACCCACAGTATCATTATATGATGCACAGCTATCTGTGGATTAATCTTTGATGTATGTTTTGTTTGCAGGATTGCTATATTTTAGATCAAGGTGGCAGCTCAGTAATGGTCTGGAAAGGAAAAGCAGCATCAGATGAAGAGAGACACTCAGCACTGAGTCGGGCGGTTGTAAGCATCTGTGTTTGCATAGTATTATTCTGCAAAGTAGTATATTTATTTAATATCACTTCTTTATTGTTTCATAATTGGTGCACACAAATATTCATCCCTCAGGGCTTTATAAAAGCGAAGAACTATCCATCCAACACGAAAGTGGAGGTTATGAGTGAAGGAGGTGAATCTGCCATGTTTAAACATTTCTTCAAGTCCTGGAAAGAAAAAGGTCAAGCTCAAGGACTGGGAAAGACGCACTCAGTAGGAAAGATAGGTGATTCATCATTCAGCATTATTTCTCACGTGAGGGTGTAGATGTTTCAGCATTGTCATGTTAGTATATGCATCATATTTGATTTTGTCAGATTGATTGTAAACACACCTGTTATTTCAGCTAAAGTGGATCAGGTGAAGTTTGACGTCATGGAGCTTCACGCTCAACCAAAGCTGGCTGCACAGGAGCGGATGGTGGACGACGCCTCAGGACATGTTCAGGTATAATAAAATAATATAATAATATAATAGCTGAACTCAAAAGTTTGGGATTGTTACCACACCACAACAGGCAAATGTCTGCTCTCTTTTGTGTTCAGGTTTGGCGCATTGAGAATCTTGAACTGAAGGAGGTAAACCCAAGCACATATGGACATTTCTATGGAGGAGACTGTTATCTAGTGTTGTACACCTACAACAGAGCCAACAAACCACAGTACATCCTCTACATGTGGCAGGTGAGGAGCATAACATGCATACTCTATCTCCAACACAATATACACTGAAATTAAGTTAATTCATGTCATAATGTGTGGAGAAAACATATAATAGTCTGCAGAGAATCACAGTTACAGATCCAGTGGCCCAAAATAACTACTTTAGGACCATACATTCACACAAATTAATTTAATTCTACTAGATAACAAAATATGAAAAAATTGTCAACCATAAACAAATAATGCTAGATATTTTCTAAAAGCTACCTTCCCTTCTAAGAGTTATTTTGCAGTGATTTTGAAGTTTGGATGTTCTCCACAAAAGGCTTTTTTTGTTTTGTTTTGTTTTGAGAAAATGGTTTGCTATAAAACTGTTTGTGCTCAATGTTGGGGAAAGTTACTTTTAAAAGTAATGCATTACAATATTGCATTACTCCATAAAAATTTAACTAATTGTGTTACTTAGTTACTTTTTATAGAATGTAATGCATTGTTACTTTTGCGTTACATTTTGTAACCTGGGCTGGGCTGGGCTTGCTTTGTTTTTTAATAACCAAAAAACAAAAATGATATTTTTGGCAACTGTAAAGGCCCTTTCACATCAAAAGTGAAATTGATAAGTAGAAGTCTCAGGCTAAAGGAAGTGCCTCAGCCTTTGCACCTCACTCCCAATTTCTCTCAGCACAGGAACAGCAGAGGTGCAAGTGAATAAATGAGAAATCAAAGTAACTTGGCGTTAGTAAATCAGATATTTCATTGTAAATTTAAATGTAATGCATTCATTTAATAGTTAATTGAAAAAAGTAATCTAAGTACATAACACGCGTTAGTTGTAATGCATTACCCCACACTGTTTGTGCTGTATTTATTTAAAATAAATGTCACTTTAATATTTGTTATATAATGACATTCATTTAAGTGTGACATAAGTGGAGCTACTGTATATAAAATACATTATATAGCTACAGTACAAAATAAACAATGCAGCATTTCTAATATCTGAACTCTACACAAATATTGTGTTGAAATATTAACATGTATTGAGCAGAAAAGCTATAAATACACAATATGTTACAATCTGGATGCACACATTGGAGATCCTGTGACATGAAGCATGTGTTCTCCAGGGTCGCCACGCTACACAGGATGAGGTGACGGCATGTGCTTATCAGGCGGTGAATTTGGATAACAAATACAATGGAGCCCCAACACAGGTCAGAGTGGTCATGGGAAAAGAGCCCAGACACTTCCTGGCCATCTTTAAGGGCAGACTCATCATTTTTGAGGTGATTGTGCTTTCATTCCTATGGAGCATATAACTCTAAATTGTAAATTATTTTATGATCTGAATTATTTACCACCTTCAGGTAACAAAATTGTTATTTATTTACTTACACTGCAAAAGAATATGTCAATATGATGTCTTGCTTCATTTGGAGTATTATATGAGCTTACTTTTTCTTTAAGTATGCTTAAGTTAGCTTTTCATTGACACGTTGATTGTTTCTTAGGGTGGGACCGGTAGACCGGGTGTTGTGAACCCTGATCCTGGTGCCAGACTCTTCCAGGTCAGAGGGACACATGAGATGAACACCAAAGCAACAGAGTTGCCCGCCCGAGCCGCCTCTCTCAACACCAATGACGTCTTTCTGCTCAAAACTCATCAGAATGTCTTCCTGTGGTATGGCAAGGCAAGTATAAGAATGAATGAATTAATTAAATATAATAATTAAATCTGAGAATCATAACATTATTGAAATAAATGCATATATAATTGGTTGAATTAAATAAATATAGACTAGAACTAAAATGTGTAACATTAAAATAAGCAAAACATAACAATTTGGCTAAAATGTGTTATAATAAATATTCACTACTGCTCAAAAGTTTGGAATATTTAAGATTTTTGCTTTTAAAAAGAAGTGTCTTATGATCATAAAGGCTGCAATTATTTGATCAAAAAGACCATACATATTTATAATGATATTATTATGAAATATGATTACAATTTAAAAGAATCTCATGTATTTATAAAGCTGAATTTTCAGCAATAATTACTCCAGTCTTCAGTGTGACATGATCCTTCAGAAATCATTCTAATATGCTATTTGGTGCTAAATTATTAATTATTATTGATGCTCATTGCTCAATTATTCTTAGCTTAAACCATTTTTGCTACTTTGCTAAAAATGTTTTTCAATGTATTTTTGATGAGTGAACAGTATTTATTTTACTTAATATTATACACTGTCATTTTTGATCAATTTAATGCATCTTTACTGTATAAAAGTGTTATTATTATTTATTTTTTTATCTGATGGCAAACATGGTAATGCATCATGTTGAAGAACTGTTTTCAACACTGATAATAATAAATGTTTCTTGAGCACCAAATCACTGAGCAAGTGAGCATAAGAGACTACTATAAAAAAAACGTAACATAACTATTCCAAACTTTTGACCAGTAATTTATTAATCATAAAAAATATACTTTGTTATATTTTTACATCTCTCTCTATCTCTTTCTATTTGTGTGTTTCTGTTTCTCACAGGGCTGCAGTGGAGACGAGAGGGAGATGGGAAAAGCCGTAGCTGATTTGCTTTCTGAGCTGGACAAGCAGATTGTGATGGAAGGACAGGAACCAGCTGCCTTCTGGGTGGCTTTGGGAGGGAAAGCTCCATACGCCAGTGACAAGAGGTACAACCATAAAAACAGATAAAGATGAGCTCATACTTCAAAAGTCAGTCATTTCCACTGACTTCCTCTGTGTCGCCACTAGACTGGAGAAAGAAGTGGCACTTCACGAACCTCGTCTGTTTGAATGCTCCAATCAGACGGGCCGATTCCTTATGACAGAAGTGGCTGACTTCACTCAGGATGACCTGGACGAGGATGATGTCATGCTTCTAGACACCTGGGAGGAGGTGGGCTGTGTGAAGTCATGCTGTCGGCTTCTTTTGCATGAGGCTGCGGTGAAATGCCGGTGTCGTTCTGGGTTATGCAAAATATGCAGAGAGAAATAGTGTCAAACAACAATTCTGCTGGTAGTTTTGCGTATTGAGTTACTCAAACCCAGGGGTTTTCAAACTGCGACCAAATAAATTACAAAGAGAAAGAAAAAGAGTGTGGGAGGGGTCCTTTGCAAAGAGGTCATCAAAATTGGGGGTTGGTGGCATTAAAAAGTTAGAAAGCTCCCACTCTTATATGTCAATCTCCTAAACCCCTCTTCTTCCTCCTCCCTCAGATTTTCCTTTGGATTGGCAACTCAGCCAACCAGTATGAGACTCAGGAGTCCTATAGCGGTGCAGTGGACTATCTTAAAACCCACCCAGCCGGACGGGACCCTGGGACACCCATCACCACTGTTAAACAAGGCTATGAGCCGCCCACCTTCACCGGCTGGTTTAATGCTTGGGATGCTCATAAGTGGAGCGTGAGTCCAGCAGGGGGCAGTAATGCGCAACAAATTCACTAACAAACTAACTGAATCTTGAGAAGTTCAGTCCACATAATCATTTGTTGATTCTCATCTAATAATACATCCTCAACATCAAAGCAAAATGGACCATTTTCCTGATCTTGTTTTGCATGATTCTTCATTGTGTTTTTCCCAAAAATATTTTTATTTATAAGTTTAAATGAGTATTATTTATTTATAAAAGTTTAAATATTTTATTCAATATTTAATTATTTATACGTTTAAATATTTATTTATTATGTATTTATAAGTTTAAATATTTATAAGTTTAAATGTCTTCTTTCTTTTAATTTTCTCTCAAAAACATAATAATACAGATTTTTTTCTAAAATATTGACAAAAATGTATGGAAGCTTGTTTTCTCCATGGGGTAAAAAAAAAGGTAATTGCAAGTTTTCTCTTACATTTCAGAATTTTTTTTCTCACAATTATAAATTTATATCTCAGAATTTAGATTTTTGTGTTGTAATTCTGAGATTTAAAATTAGAACTGTGCAAGATACAAAGTCAGAAATGTTAGTCTTAGTCTTCTTTCTCGTAAATTCAGAGTTTACACCTCACAACTCTGACTTTATTTTCTTTGAATTCTGACTTTTCATCTTGCAATACCTTTATTTTTTATCCTCTGGTGGAAACAAGCTTCCATAATAATTACCACAAAAAACGAGGTTGAACAAATGTATTTCATATTCAGACCACGCCCATTTTCCTCTGATGCAAAGAATCAGGTCCCTCCTACTTTTTTCTCATTGAATATTTAAATATTTCATATCATGAAAGTAAAGCTGGTTTCCAGTGCCATTTCATCCTGACTTTTTTTATGTCCACCATCACACCACATAATGAATTAATGTTACATGAGAGACACTTTTTCAGTTTCACTCTATATTCTAGGGAGGCCTTTCATATGAGGAGATGAAAAGCAAGCTGGGTGATATTTCGCAAATCACTGTGGTAAAAAGCTTTAACCATACTGATTAAATGCTTGTCCTGATTCATTTACATTGATCAATCTAAAGTGATCAAATTATCTAATTACATTTAGATGTCGATATGATCTACACACCTGTGTGCAAATCTAAACATGAAATCAACCTCATTTCCTGTAGAATCTCAACAACACAAACCTGAATAAGAAGACAGGAGGAGGTGGCGGGAGCTACAGCGCTCCTGGAGGTCCAAGAAATATAAAGTCTCATAATCAGAGGATGTCCTCCTCCATCTCCAATGCATATGTAGACCAGTCTCCCAGCAGAGCAAAGCCTTCTGGGATGCTTCATTCCGAGCAGCTAGTTGAAACTCCTCAACATCAGCTGCCTCAAGGAGTGGACCCTGAAAAACGAGAGGTGGGCACCGAGACCTTTAGTATGGAAGCCTCTTTCTGTGATGAAATCAAAAATAAAAAAGGCTGTTGTGACTCAATTTGTAGCTAATTTATAGCTCACAGTTCTGAATGCTTTTCTCACAATTCTGAATTATTAGTATTTTTACTTTTTATCTCATATCTGACTATTTTTCTCTCAATTGTGAGTTTATATTAAAGTCAGAATTGTGAGTTTATATCTCGCAATTCTGACTGTTTTTCTCAGAATTGTGAGATATTAACGCAGAATTGCAAGAATAAATATCACAATTGTGAGCTAAAAAGTTGCAAACTTTTTTTATGTTTTAATCCTGTGGAAGAAACAGGCTTCCTTCCATACTATTGAGTTGGTCTTAAAAAATCAGAGCTCGAAATATATTTTGAAGGTTATTATCTGGTCATCTTTATTTCAGGAATATTTGACTGATGCAGAATTTGAGAATCTCCTCGGCTGCACCCGTGACAATTTCCAGCGGCTGCCTAAATGGCGTCAGAACGACCTTAAAAAGAAGGCAGGGCTGTTTTGAGCTGGTTTTGCTATAATGAGATACAGTCTGATCTTCAGACCTGATTATTGTGCTTCATGTGTATTTTGGGCTAGAAGATGGTCACCTATAAAATGTTATCGATTTATTTATTCATCAAATAAATAAATGTTTCGACTCAAAAGCTGACATGACCTAATAGAAATGCTTTGTAAATATCTTACATACAGTAGAACATCAAATGTATCCCACCAAAATAACTATATCAGTCGCATACAGTAGAACATGACTTTTAGTGCTAATAAAAACACAATGTATGCCAAGAAATGTTTCTGAGAGGTTTAATTAAGTTTTAATGAATGCACTAGTTGAATGCCACAGCATTTTAGAGTCAGTAAAGCCAGTTCTTTCCTGTTAGGAGGATGTCAGAACAGGACATCAGAAACAGATGTTGTTATGGCTCAATATTGCTGAAGTAGAAGGTAACAGCCTGTGTAACAACTTTACTTTAAGGCACATTAGATAAGTTAAGAACAACATAAAAATAGAAATATTTCTACAAAAGGAGCAGATCAAAGCAGCAATACCTTATACCAACAACAGCAATGAATACAAAACAAACACCTTAAAAATAGAAAGCACCGCTACTGTTTGTAAATGTATAACTCTTCCTTTCTTTTACATCATACACTTTTGTAGTGCAACACTTTTACTGATAACTCAATGCACGCCTACTGTTCAGATTCTTATATAATGCGATTATTATTGATAGCTGAACATGTTTATCAGAAAATAATGGATAGCATGTACAGTATTGGTAATATGGGGTAAACGGTTCACTGTCCATCATTTGTTCATATAAAGAACAACTGAGCATAAGCCAACGTAAGTCACTGGAACTAGCAAATATCAAGCAATATTACTCCAGTTCAACTCCTCTCTCACAACACTGAACAAAAGGAGGGCATTGTTAAGATGAAATCTCCTGTTTAACCAAGATATAATTGTGACTAAGGTGAAGACTTCATGGGAATGTCTAGACAAAAACACTTTCACTGACAATCAGAAACTATATACAAACACTGTTTAAATACTCTGTTAATGTAAAAAGGCATCAGTGTAGTATATTTTTAAATATACATTTTTTAAGACATTAAAATAGAAAACTGTTAGGTAAAACATTCTCCAATAACAAATCTAAACTGATTTAGACAGGAATGACGATGGAATTCTTAAAATGGAGAGAGAACATGTGTTTTCTGAAAGTACTAGTGCTGCCAAATCGATTAATTGCGATTAATCACATCCGAAATAAAAGTTAGTGTTTATATAATATACGTGTGTACTGTGTATATTTATATGTATTTATAAATACACATATGTACATGTATATATTACGAAATAAATTACGCTTAATGGAAAGTAATGCGTTACGTTGCTTTTTGTCACCTGGGCTAGGCTTGCTTATTTGTTTATTAACAAGTGAATAAATTGGGAAACAAAGTAACTGGCGACTGGTGTTACTTACTTATTTAAAAAATATATTTTCTTGTAAATTTAAAAGTAATGCATTGCTTTACTAGTAACTTGAAAAAAAGTCATCTGATTATGTAACTTGCGTTACTTGTAATAAATTACCCCCACTTGTAAACACCAACTTTTATTTTGGATACGATTAATCGCAATTAATCGATTTGACAGCATTAGAAAGTACTACTCTAACTGGTAGCCAAAAAATCTTAAAATTTAAATTAACTTTAAATAAAATATATTTTGTAAATTTTTTTTATTTAAACAGTATTTGTTTAAATGTATTAAATTTGCATGCTATGGAAAAAAATCGACAACAAAGAATGTCGAATTTTTGTAATGTCTTTTTTTTTTACCCCACCTGTTTTTCTAAACTGAACCGCATGCACTAATTCCATGAAGCATTTTATGGCACACCTCTGAACTCAAATGGTAAGGAGGAAAAGTCCAAATCTTATCCTTAAAAGTGTTTGCAGAGGACAGTTTAGTTGATTGTCTTGTTCAGTGATCTGCACACTTTGACATTGCGATGACTGAGGGGAATGTTGGAGTTTATTAGACATCAAGAGCCATGATGTGTACAAAGAGTCCAGCTGAAGGAATGAGATTTCCTCTCTTCGTGAGCAGAGGCACATGGCGGTATCCTGAAGACAGAAGACAGGACTTATGGTGAGCAAACTCATAATAACTGCACAACAATTTCTCGCTTATTTTCACTAGCTCACCATTCTGCATGCTGGTGAAGGGCAGAGTGTACAGGCCGACCAGGTCATTAGGGGAAGCAGCGTCGTAGTCCTCCACCACAAACCGCACCAAAGCCAGTTCCGGCACGTGAATAGTGAACTGGAATTTCGTGTTCCACACAGGATTGAAACCTGTAACAAAAAACACTTCAGTGACCTACACTTTGGTAAAAAGCATCTGTTAAATGCGTAAGTGTAAATGGACTGTTGACACTTGCCATTGTTGTCAATGTGGTGTGTCTGTTTGCTGGCGTTGTCGTCGGGCACACCGTAGATCTCCACCCTGACCTGAGGGTCCACGATGGACTTCTGCTTGTCTTTATTGATCTTAGGCAGCTGCTGGGCTGATATGATCTGAACAGATACATACAAGAATTGGTCGCTGTTTGGATAGGTTTGCATTTGGTTTAGGGATTAATGATATATCAGTGCCATAATTTAATAACACTGTTAAATGTCTTGATCAAACCTCAAAATTAATATTTATTTTTATTATATTTATTATATTGAATATTATAATGTTGTGATGCCTAAATTCACTTGTTACAATTAAAACAATTGGATTTCAGCTTTTACTGATTAATTTTTAATTAAAAGATTTAATTTTTAATGTACTCATTCATTTATTTAATTTATTGTATCAGCCAGAATAACATTGTTAAATATAATCATTAGCAAACCTCAAAATGAATATTTATTTTTCAGAATGTATATTATAATGTTATGATGCCTCATTTCACTTGCAGCATTTAAAACGATTGGATTTTAGTGATTCATTTTTAATAAAAAACAATGTAAAATAAAATAAGATATATTTACTGTTTTAAATTTTTTTTAAATGTGTATATATATATATATATATATATATATATATTTTTTTTTTTTATGTACTCATTCATTTATTTAATTTATTGAATCAGCCAGAATAACACTGTTAAACGTAATCATTAGCAAACCTCAAAATCAATATTTATTTTTCATAATGTATATTATAATGTTGTGATGCCTAAATTCACTTGTAGCATTTAAAATGATTAGATTTAGATTTGAGCTTTTAGTAATTAATTTTTCATAAAAAAATGAAAAAGATGTATTTGTTTTAATAAATAAAAAAAATCATCATCATCATCATCAAAAAAAAAAATGCATAATGTATATTATAATGTTGTGATGCCTAAATTCACTTGTAGCATTTAAAATGATTAGATTTAGATTTGAGCTTTTAGTAATTAATTTTTCATAAAAAAATGAAAAAGATGTATTTGTTTTAATAAATAAAAAAAATCATCATCATCATCATCAAAAAAAAAAATGCATAATGTATATTATAATGTTGCAATGCCTAAATTCACTCGTGGCATTTAAAAATTTATGGATTTGAGCTTTTAGTGATTCGTTTTTAAAGAAAAATAAAGAAATAAAAAGATATATTCATTATTAATTTTTATTAATTTAATGTACTTATTAATTTCTTTTTTATTTATTGTATCAGGCATAATTTTAATATATATTCATCCTAATCTCACCATGACATGCAAGGTCTTTTTCTTCAGCCAGGGGCCTACTCTGAGGTTCTTGGGGTCAAACTGTGAGGCAGGGTCCCTCTGAAACTCTGGCTTAAGTATATAGCCACACTTGCCATTAGGTAGAAAGCGGGCCTGATTCAGATCCATCTCCTTACCAGGAGTCTGGAAGTTTAGAGCCACTATAGACAATTTGAGGGATAAAAACATATTAAGTGGTGTATGGAAGCACATGTAGATTATAAACAGGCTTTCTGAACTGCATCAGACTCATATTATCTCATATAGCAAGGGCTTTGCACCTATTTGGCAGCCGGCGTTCCACAGTGGCACCGGATTGTAGTTGGATGAATCGGTTCTGGAGCCGGCTGGGTAGATTCTGCTCAGATTATCCATGTTGTGATGAACAAATGGCGTAGCTTCAAGACATCACCAAAATGCGCTATTAGAGTATATCTGGCAACATCACTTATATTTTAGGCCTTTCTTTTCTTTTCTTTTTAGTTTGGGGCCCTATTGAGTGCTGCAGTTATGACATATTCTTGTAGGCCAACCTGGAAGTTAGCAACACCTTGGTTTACCTGAGTTTTCTGCCAGGTTCATTGCTTTGCTCTCCTTGAAGGAGGCCATTTCATAGAAAGCGTGGTAATCTCTTGAATGCTCGAAGTTGCTGAAATGGACACTCTTGCAGTAGATGACCAGGTCTGACAGCTCCTTAGCCAGCTTGATCTTTTTGGAACTCTACAACATAATCAAAAAGAATAACTTCAGTTCACACATGCAATGATGAAGGGATGCCAAATAAGCAGAACAAATCTGTTGTCTGTCTCATGATTTGAATGGGGTTTTTGTGGGAATGTCTGACAGCTGAGTGTGCCGATTTGAACTCAACCTTATCTACCGCAGCTTTGTGTATGCAAATAAACTCCACGAACCTAAGTGTGCTTTGTGGAACGTTTTTGAAAACTTGTTTTCCAGTTTATATTTAAAAGAAAATGCAGTGGTCTGAAAATAAATTTCAGCCAGGATCAGGAATAGACTTTTGATTTTACACATTTTATTCATTCGATTTAAACCATATTTTGTGTTGCACTAACAAATAAAATCTGCTTTTCTGCCAATTTTACTCGTATAGTGTATGTGGTGTTTGGTTAATGTTAATTTTGTAGTACTTGACAGACAAATTTTATTATGACAAGTTTTTGTTTTCACTGGTACATTAGATTACATTCAAGTTTTCCACTGTACTGATGAGGTTTAATACAGGTTAAACTCATGCCAGCTGCTGTTTGGGTGTTGGTCTCTGAATGACTGAATGGTTTTTTACACACCTTTTCCTTGGGTTTCTGTTCAGCCTCTTTAAGTTCAGCAGCCTCATCTTCCTCTGACACACTGTCCACATCATCTGTGGTGTTGTTGTTGAATGCCGCATCCAGTTTGTTCAAACGCTTGCCCTTGATCAGGAAACGTCCCTTCAGCTCCTACAAACATAAACAGATGACACAAATATATTTGAAATTTTTGTTGAAATGAGATCTGATTATGCATTGAAATGTTTTATACACTACACTATGGAACTGAAAGATAATGCTTTACTATTGTTTCTCTGCTTACTGTGTTTATGTGAGGATGGGAGTTCATGGCTGAACCACCCTCAGGCTGTAATACTAGAATCACCTTTGATCCTACCTTAGTGTCATTCAGAGAAACTGGCAGAACTTCTCAGTACGAGAAAAAGCTCAGGGCTAAATCTCTATTCAAACAGAAGCCCCTTCCACCTCACAACCAAAACAAGCACTTCGAATCCTGCCCGTCTGAACTTGTACCGTCTTGTCATTTGACTTTCAGACGGCAGCTCAAAAGCTTGGGGAGTGTTTTGGTGAATCATCAGGAAGTGATAAATGGTTACGATAAAAAAAAAAAGTTTCTCCATGTAACTGTAGCTCTACTGATAATCACTTCCTCGATCTTCAGCTATTTGAATTCAAGGATACAGAAGTAAACAGGAAGATTGCAGGGATGACGAGGAAGTCATCTGAGGAAAATGTGTGGTGTGGGGTGTGGTGAAAAGAGATGTTAAGAGGTCATGTAGCTGGTTTAGCTTTAGAGAGCGGTCTCTGTTATCCACTAGGTGGCAATATGTAGAATCAGCTATCGTATGCAGTTACACCCATCATTTCTTTACAATAGAACAAGAACTGAAAAAAATAATAATAATTGGCGTAGAAACAAATTTCACATAAAAGAATTTCTAGTAAATTTCACAAACTATTACAAAGAAATGACAAATAACAAGTAGAAAAACAGTTTTTACAGTGCAGTGGTGCAGCAACATCCAAGTGTGTTATTTTTAGTGGTCTAACCTCAGGTCCTGGAAAAGTGTTGGGCATTTGATGCCCCAGGGGTTGAGTGAGCAAAGCACTGCCCAGGATGGAGGTTAAGTGATGGGCCATGATCTTCTGCTGCTCTATGGAGCAATGGTTCTCCAAAGACAGGATCACTGGATACTGTGAGGTCTAGTGTAGCAAAAA